ATATATAGAGATGTGCCTATCATTTGATGTATCATAAATTATTTGAACTAAATATTTTTAGGTATCCTGTTGGTCTGATAAACAGATTCCTGTCAATTGCACTCAACTCCACAATGATCCTTCTAACATTTGCATGTACCCATCGTATTTTACTTATTTTATGGTACTAGCATTAATAGCCACTTCGATGTTAACTCAATTGTCACATTTCACCAAAGCTGCTATCCTAGTCATTATAACTCTCATTCACTGTATCATTAATGTGATCACTGTTAGTAGTGCTATTGACTGTGAAGATTCCATAAATTGCAAACCTTACAGGTAATTATCAACATCAGTTAAAATTAAAATTATTTCGAATAGTAATATTTTTCAATACAATTCTAAAAAAATTTTCAGGATTTTATCGTCTAAGTACGCTTTATCTTTTTTGCTCGCTGCCGTTACAATGGCACTGATGTTTTTAGCAAGAAATGTGAGTATATTTTTTTTAATTAATTTATAATTTCGAAAAACTATGCATGAAAGTTCATTATTAAAATAGAAACATTTTATTAAAGATGGACAAATCGTCGAGGGTTCTCTATTTATGGCGAACAGAAGTAGAGGAACAACGAGAAAGAGCCTCGGATATTCGACGACGTAATGAAGCATTAGTATACAATATATTACCACCACATGTAGCCAAACATTTTCTTGGTAGTTATAAACGTCAACATGAAGAACTGTACAGTCAGAGTTATGCTGAAGTTGGTGTGTTATTTGCTTCAATGCCTAATTTCTCAGGTTAGTACTTAAATTTATAATGACTTAAATTATTATAAAATGCATCATTTTAGATTTCTACTCAGAAGAGACAGTTAACAATCAAGGTTTAGAATGTTTAAGATTCCTCAACGAGGTCATATCTGACTTTGATGCTGTAAGAAGTTTTTTTTTTAGTATTTTATAAAATAATAATAATAATTTTGATTTATTACTTGATTATAGCTTCTAGAGCAACCACGATATCAAGATATTATTAAAATTAAAACTATTAGCTCCACTTATATGGCAGCTAGTGGACTAAACCCATCTAGAGTAGTTAAGGTGAATAATCATAAATTTTGAATTTAAAAAAACACAATAGAAGTTAATAAAATTTAGAAATCATAT